AATTTCACGAAAACTAAAAAATATGACAATTTCAAAATAAGGTCCAGAATGAACAATGCAGACATTCCTGGCTCTAAAATAACAATTTCTTTGTTCATCAGTCATGTCTCCAGGCCCCTATGATATTACTCTTGCTTTCTATTTTGAATTTTTATTCAAACAAAAAATAGAAGACTTACTATTATGCAGACTACTACAATACTGTAATAATTGTATAAATAACATCAACCCATTCATAACTGCATATTAGAATGGCTAGTTGGACATTTATTGGACAATGGCATCATTTGTTTACTTTTGAACATTGGCAAAAATCAAACATTTCTCATACTTTGAGCACCATTTCTAGGTTCTTTTTATAGTAAAATCAATCAAAATCACCTCTATTTCTATAATATGTTTTCCATTCTATCAAATGAGACCAAGAAAACGAGAATACAACCATAAATACTATACGAAAATAGACCACAAAGTCGGCATTTTAATTAATAAAAACGGTCAGAGTTTTTTTTTCTCATTATGCACTGCATGCTCCAGGATTTTTTTTATATGGTGCACACTGACCACACAGACCCATTCTCTCACATGTGGGCCTACCAGCTTTCTCCTGCTTGATTTGAAGTCACTAGAATTTATGAGTATATATACGTCAAACACGGTACCTTGTAAGACGTATAGATACGGCCGCGACAGTCAAAGGGTTAAAAGAGGAGTGTTAATATGACATTACATCAGTGAATCCTTGGTGTTTGCCGCACTGTTTGCTCTAGCTGGAGCTCAATTTAACTTGCGCTCCCACAAGGTACTAAGTGATCCAAGATTTTTTTAATACTGCGCACGCTGAGATACTGACAAGGCATCTCAGGCCAATCGTGCCAAATTTGAAGGAAGGAAAAATAAAACATACATATACGTAAGAACGTATATATATGTTTGGACCGTTTAAGAGTTAATCCATCTATGATGGGTAACTGTAGAAAATTATTCTTTTTGTATGTAAGTAAGTTTATTCAGGTATACAGAAATAGTTACATAGATTATCATGCATAGCTGCAAATGAGTAAAGTACCTAGGATAACCCAAAATCGATGTTACATGAGAATGGGAGTGTTCCTCTTTATTTATTCCTCCATATCAATGTAGAGACAACTTGTACACAATGTAACTTTTACACAAACCAGACGTGTACACTTTGTTTACAAAACTGGCATTCGCCTGGTTTGTTTACATAATGCTGTGCCTGTCCTCCCTCATGTACTCATTCTCTCTCTCTCTCTCATTTATTCGTTTTATCTTGTTTACTCACCTCTGACCCCTACATTAAGACTACAAATATTTTAAGATAAGTAATGAGTGAACTGTATATGCATTTTATCGCTCTGGGATGTTTAAATGTCAGAATATTATGTTTGGGTGGGTTGGCTTGGCTGGCTACCATACATACTACACTTGATTTCTTAAAATAAATACTACTCATCTCACCCTACATTAAGACTACAAATATTTAAGGTAAGTAATGAGTAAAGAGTAATAAGTAATAAGTAAAAGTAAGGTGATGAGGGTATCAAATGATTTAGATAAAGAAAAATTGGATATCAAATTGGGGAGGAGGAGTATGGAAGAAGTGAATGTTTTCAGATACTTGGGAGTTGACGTGTCGGCGGATGGATTTATGAAGGATGAGGTTAATCATAGAATTGATGAGGGAAAAAAGGTGAGTGGTGCGTTGAGGTATATGTGGAGTCAAAAAACGTTATCTATGGAGGCAAAGAAGGGAATGTATGAAAGTATAGTAGTACCAACACTCTTATATGGATGTGAAGCTTGGGTGGTAAATGCAGCAGCGAGGAGACGGTTGGAGGCAGTGGAGATGTCCTGTCTAAGGGCAATGTGTGGTGTAAATATTATGCAGAAAATTCGGAGTGTGGAAATTAGGAGAAGGTGTGGAGTTAATAAAAGCATTAGTCAGAGGGCAGAAGAGGGGTTGTTGAGGTGGTTTGGTCATTTAGAGAGAATGGATCAAAGTAGAATGACATGGAAAGCATATAAATCTATAGGGGAAGGAAAGAGCGGTAGGGGTCGTCCTCGAAAGGGTTGGAAAGAGGGGGTAAAGGAGGTTTTGTGGGCGAGGGGCTTGGACTTCCAGCAAGCGTGCATGAGCGTGTTAGATAGGAGTGAATGGAGACGAATGATACTTGGGACCTGACGATCTGTTGGAGTGTGAGCAGGGTAATATTTAGTGAAGGGATTCAGGGAAACCGGTTATTTTCATATCGTCGGACTTGAGTCCTGGAAATGGGAAGTACAATGCCTGCACTTTAAAGGAGGGGTTTGGGATATTGGCAGTTTGGAGGGATATGTTGTGTATCTTTATACGTATATGCTTCTAAACTGTTGTATTCTGAGCACCTCTGCAAAGCAGTGATAATGTGTGAGTGTGGTGAAAGTGTTGAATGATGATGAAAGTATTTTCTTTTTGGGGATTTTCTTTCTTTTTTTGGGTCACCCTGCCTCGGTGGGAGACGACCGACTTGTTGAGAAAAAAAAAAAAAAAAAAAAAAAAAAAAAGTAATGAGTGAACTGTATATGCATTTCATCGCTCTGGGATGCTTAAATGTCATATAATATTGTGTGGGTGGAATGGCTTGGTATGGTAACCTGGCTGACTACCATACACACAACACTTGATTTCTTACAATAACTGCTACTCACATAATAATATTAAGGAATTCTCGTGTTTTCCTTACTTTTCGTTAAGTTAATTCACCAGATTTCTTTCTTCTAACCATGGGTCCTAAGAAAGCAAGTGCAAAGGACAGTGCCGAGAAGAAAAAGAGGATGATTTGCATGGAATTAAAGCAAATCATTGATAAGCACGAACCAGGTACATAGTGTAATGAGATAAACATAAAAATTGTACATAGCGACCACTCTCCGCCATCCACATAATGACATATTTTATTCATTCTAGAGTACATATCAGGTTTCTAAGTTATTTATATTGTTTATTATGTCATATTAGATGAATTGTGACAAATAATTATTCCGTAGAGTTGATATTGGGGTTATTTTGTCATGCCTCCTGAGAGCAGGAATTCAGCTGGAACGAATTAATTGCATTTCAATTAATTTAAATGAGGAAAATTGACCCAGCATACGAACAAATCAGGATACAAACAAGTCCACGGAACGGATTAAATTCGTAAGCTGAGGTTCCACTGTAAATGGAATAGGTAGTAAGTTATTAAATGCTGTAACGAGTTTTTATGAGGATAGTGAGGCTCAGGTTAGGGTGTGAAGAAGAGAGGGAGATTACTTCCTGGTAAAAGTAGGTCTTAGACAGGGATGTGTAATGTCACCATGGTCGTTTAATATATTTACAGATGGGGTTGTAAAAGAAGTAAATGCTAGGGTGTTTGGGAGAGGGGTGGGATTAAATTATGGGGAATCAAATACAAAATGGGAGTTGACACAGTTATTTTTTGCTGATGATACTGTGCTTATGGGTGAGTCTAAAGATAAGTTGCAAAGGTTAGTGGACGAGTTTGGGAGGATGTGTAAAGGTAGAAAGTTGAAAGTGAACATAGATAAGAGTAAGGTGATGAGGGTATCAAATGATTTAGATAAAGAAAAATTGGATATCACATTGGAGAGAAGGAGTATGGAAGAAGTGAATGTTTTCAGATATTTGGGAGTTGATGTGTCAGCAGATGGATTTATGAAGAATGAGGTTAACCATAGAATTGATGAGGGAAAAAAGTGAGTGGTGTGTTAAGGTATATGTGGAGACAAAAAAATTCATCAATGGAGGCAAAGGGAAAGTAAATGCAGCAGCAAGGAGACGGTTCGAGGCAGTGGAGATGTCCTGTCTAAGGGCAATGTGTGGTGTAAATATTAGGCAGAAAATTCAGTGTGGAAATTAGGAGAAGGTGTGGAGTTAATAAAAGTATTAGTCAGAGGGCTGAAGAGGGGTTGTTGAGGTGGTTTGGTCATTTAGAGAGAATGGATCAAAGCAGAATGACATGGAGAGTGTATAAATCTGTACGGGAAGAAAGGCAGGGTAGGGGTCATCCTCGAAAAGGTTGAAGGGAGGGGGTAAAGGAGATTTTGTGGGCAAGAGGCTTGAACTTCGAGCAAGCATACATGAGTATCTTAGAAGCGAATGGAGACAAGTGGTATTTGGGACCCGACAAGCTGTTGGAGTGACAGCAGCATAATATTTAGTGAAGGGATTAAGGGAAACCGGTTATTTTTATATAGCTTGCACTTTAAAGGAGGGGTTTGGGATATTGGCAGTTTGGTGGGATGTGTAATAGGATGATACATATATAATTGGGACCCTGATATTGTAATTATTTCAGGTCACTTTTTATACTGTATCTTTACATATGCTTCTAAACTGTTGTATCTGGGAACCTCTGCAAAAACAGTGATTATGTACGAGTGAGGTGAAAGTGTTGAATGATGATGAAAGTATTTTTGTTTTAGGGATTTTCTTTCTTTTTGGGTCACCCTGCCTAAGTGGGAGATGGCCGACGTGTTGGAAAAAAAAAAAAAACTATAGTTTTACATACAGAAAAGGGATGATGAAATTCGAGGGGCCACTGTATTTATTAGTGTTTTGTTATGTGCTACCTAGCTGTACTTGCTGTTCTAGTTATCATTTGGTTCGTTATTCCTATACTGTATAACTATCTTCTCTTTTCGTTTCAAAGTGCTTCCAACCTCTCTTTTCTTTATAACATTTGCCTGCTCTTTTATTATTGTCTTCACTTTTGTATAGTGTGTTTATAACAACAAATGCACAAAAACAAGAAAAAATATTAACAAAATCAATATCAAGAATATCAGCACAATTGTACGGTTACATCAGATAATACTGTGACAAAATACTAACAAGAGAAATTGAAAAGCACCAATTACACAAGTCTGAGACTTATATAGATTCAGTTTTGTACTAATTTAGGGCAGTTCATCTAAATTAAAATCTGTACTCTTACCTCTTATCCAAGACTGTGATTACATCTCCTACACAATACTGAAGTCTGTCTCTTTTTCCCCCTGGTGTAGCAGGTGGGTCCTCACATTCTCTTACTACTTGAACTTGCTCTGGTTTACACTGGCAATTGTGAAGGATTAAAACATATAATTTATTTTGTTTTCACTAATAAGCTGATTAAAGATAGAGCATTAAACATTGGACAGAAAGTGCATAAAATACCAACATAATGGAATAAAGAGACAAATGCAATGCTGTATGTGACCTTATCAAGGCATGAACAGATCCACCTGAGCAAGATGATGATTCTATATATGGGGAGCATGGTGACAAGTTAGATGAGATGCAGAGATTAAAAACAGGTTTCTCTCTTTTTCCACAGTTAAACAGTATTTAAAAATAAAATAAAATAAAGGAGGGCTATACTCATGAAGAAGCAATGTAGGTGTCTGTTTGATCTGCATTTAATATGAAATGATTTGATAACTTTTTTTTATTTAAAAAAAATACAATAATTAAATGCATTAAATAAAAAATTAATAAAAAAAATTAAGCCATTAAATAAATCAAAACAGACTGACACTGACAGCCTCATCATAATTTCCATACAGCATGACAGGAAAATGGAGAACTACCACAAAACTAACAAAATATCTACATCAGCATAATAGGTATTTTATAGATTAGGTGTCAAGTACCTAATGTAATTCAATGCACAATGATCTGCTGTTCTTAACCTTTTCATTGTCCAGACCCCCAAAATTAATTTTATTATTTTAAATTGCTCCCAGTGTCCACTTTAAAAAAAAAAAATCTTCTGGAATGGTAGAGAATCTTTTTCCGAAGGTAATGACACCAAAATTATGAAATTTGATGGAAAATTAAGTAAACACAAAGTTAGTAGTCCAGGGCACAATTTACACACTGGTGACTTAATAGACTTCAATTTCTATTTTAAGAAAATTCCATTCAACCAAATTCTTAGCTATTTCACTAGTATGTCTTCCATTCTATCGACTGAGCACAAGAAACTGCCCATTCAACTATTACAACACAGAATTTGGCCAATTTTACACTAAATTAAAAAAATACCAATTTAACCCTTAAATGGTCCAAATGTATATATACGTTTTTTTCAACATCTGAAAGTATGTAAAAAAATGTAGATTTTTTTTTGTTTTACATGTGAAAACGTGTAAAAAAAACTTTTATCTACCTTTTTTTTTCGTTATATTTGAAAATATGTAAAAAAAAGTAGATCTACTTTTGTAGCACCACGAATCTGAACGTCGATCTGTTTGGACCGTTTAAGGGTTAAAAATAAACAATGTAGATATTCCTGGCACTAAAACAACATTTCCTCTGTTCATTAATCTTATCCCCAGGCCTCTCCTATAATACACCTGCCTTCCATTTTGAATTCATAATCACAAAAATGGAAGATTTACCAGGAATGATTGGATATGGTTTACAGTGTCCCAATAATTGAATCAGACCTACTGAAAACCCATAAAGCAGACTGGGGGGTGTAGGGTGCCTTCCCCGTTCTCAGGAAAATCAGCAAAAAATTGAATGTTTGCACTACTTTGAACTGAATTTCAAGCTAATTCTGGTCTTGAAACCAACCAAAATTACCTTTATTTCAGTGGTATGTCTTCCATTCTATCAAATGATGCAAAGAAACAGCCAACAAAACCATTAAACCCATCCTGGAAAATAACTCAGTCACTATGTATTTTAAAGCAAAGACTAGGTCTGAGTTTTGCTTTTCCTATCACACAATGCATGAGGCAGTATTGTGCACATTCACTGAACAGAAAATTCTCTCATATCTAGGCTAAAATTTACCGCTCACAGCTAATCTGAGTGAGTTGAGCTCATGACAGAATGAGGAACCCTGGCCTCAATGACAGTTCTAAATGGCATCCACTGAAAGGGTTAAGCCTGTTCATTGCCACTGTACACATTCCTAATAAAATTTCTTGCAGTTACTTATCGTATATCGCCATCTCAGCTGTCCTCCTCCCACTGCCATTATCCATTTGTTTAACTTAACCACACTATAGCTAACTATTCTCAATTATGTGAGTCACAGTTTTATGTAAACTGTATCTCCCCATAACAATACAGCCCCATTAAAATAATACACACTCATAAGATGGTTCATATTTACCGTTCTAACTCTTGATTTGTCATGCTGGTGCCACACCAGTAATTTAAATCTACACAATCACTTTATACTGCCTTAATTTTTTTACTCACATCTGGAAGAATATTCATAAGGTCAACAAACTTAGGCCTCTTTGCAGGATCATGTTGCCAACATTTAAGCATTATGGTATAATATTCTTTAGGGCATGCCTCTGGCTGTTCTAACCTCTGTAAAGAATAAAAAACTGTTAGACATGACAAATAAAAACTATGACTTACAATAATTATCTGATATTATATAACTGAAGAGTTGTTTTAATATTTTTGTAGTATGAAAAGAAATGTTGAAATAAAAGCTGAAGAATAAAAAAAAAATACTGAAAGACATACAGGAGGGCTCTGTTTGTGAGGCTCTATTGTTCATGACCCCCAAATGATAAGCAAAAATTGCCTGGGGGGGGGGAGCATTCTTTTCAATTACTGAATGCATCTAAAATGCCTGATAACATGTTTACACTATCATATATTAAGTGCTCAATACAGCTAGACATAAAAGAAAGATAAAAAAGTAAAATAAATTACACATCACATACAATATTTACCTAAAAATACAGCACCGACTGTCCTTCTCTTATGCAACTGTTATACGAAAACAGCGATAATGGAAGAAAAAACAGAAAGAGCATTGAACATAATGAACAATGGCTCAAATGAAAGCTAACGAAAATGTGGAACACTGAAAAGAGGGAGTTGTATACACAGGGCCCTCCTGTACAGAAAATTGCAAAAACTTTACAGAAAGTCATGAAAGTAAAACACAAAGGGCTGAAAAATACTTGATAACATTGTTCAGTGAACATATTATACATTTTAGATATGCTGGTAATACCCAGATATGTGAAAACAAAATGTCTATTGAAACAGTATAAATGAATTACTTGTAAATTATTTTTTTTTTATTAACACATTGACTGAATCCCACCAAGGAAGGGTGGCCCGAGAAAGAAAAACTTTCATCATCATTCACTCAATCACTGTCTTGCCAGAGGGGTGCTTTACACTTGTTATAAAACTGCAACATTAACATCCCTTGGGATGTTAGAGATGTAGAGAGAATGGAACAAAACAGAATGACTTCGAGAGTGTATAAATCTGTAATGGAGGGCAGGCGGGGTAGGGATCGGCCTAGGAAGGGTTGGAGGGAGGGGGTAAAGGAGGTTTTGTGTGCAAGGGGCATGGACTTCCAGCAGGCATGCGTGAGCGTGTTTGATAGGAGTGAATGGAGACAAATGGTTTTTAATACTTGACGTGCTGTTGGAGTGTGAGCAAAGTAACATTTATGAAGGGGTTCTGGGAAACCGGCAGGCCGGACTTGAGTCCTGGAGATGGGAAGTACAGTGCCTGCACTCTGAAGGAGGGGTGTTAATATTGCAGTTTAAAAACTGTAGTGTAAAGCACCCTTCTGGTAAGACAGTGATGGAGTGAATGATGGTGAAAGTTTTTATTTTTCGGGCCACCCTGCCTTGGTGGGAATCGGCCAGTGTGATAATAAAAAAAAATAAAAAAAAAAATTAACATCCCTCCTTCAGAGTGTAGACACTGTACTTCCCATCTCTTGGACTCAAGTCTGGCCTGCCGGTTTCCCTGAATCCCTTCATAAATGTTACTTTGCTCACACTCCAACAGCACGTCAAGTATTAAAAACCATTTGTCTCCATTCACTCTTATCAAATACACTCATGCACGCTTGCTGGAAGTCCATGCCCCTTGCACACAAAACCTCCTTTACCCCCTCCCTCCAACCCTTCCTAGGCTGATCCCTACCCCGCCTGCCCTCCATTACAGATTTATACACTATCGAAGTCATTCTGTTTTGTTCCATTCTCTCTACATGTCCGAACTACCTCAACAACCCCTCCTCAGCCCTCTGAATAATAGTTTTGGTAATCCCACACCTCCTCCTAATTTCCAAAATATGAATTCTCTGCATTATATTCACACCACACATTGCCCTCAGACATGACATCTCCACTGCCTCTAGCCTTCTCCTCATTGCAACATTCATCACCCATGCTTCACACCCATACAAGAGTGTTGGTACAACTAACTCTCATACATTCCCCTCTTTGCTTCCATGGACAAAGTTCTTTGTCTCCACAGGCTCCTAAGTGCACCACTCGCCCTTTTACCCTCATCAATTCTATGATTCACCTCATCCTTCATAGACCTATCTGCTGACATGTCCACTCCTAAATATCTGAATACATTCACCTCCTCCATATTCTCTCCCTCCAATCTGATATCCAATCTTTCATCATCTAATCTTTTTATCCTCATAACCTTACTCTTTCGTATATTCACTTTTAATTTTCTTCTTTTACATACCCTACCAAATTCACCCACCAACCTCTGCAACTTCTCTTCAGAATCTCCCACAAGCACAATGTCATCAGCAAAGAACAACTGTGACAACTCCTCCTTTGTGTCTGATTCTTTATCTTTTAACTCCACCCCTTTTGCCAAGATCCCCACATTCACTTCTCTTGCAACCCCATCTATAAATATTATGAACAACCACAGTGACATCACACATCCTTGTCTAAGGCCTACTTTTACTGGGAAATAATCTCCCTCTCTCCTACATACTCTAACCTGAGCCTCACTATCCTCATAAAAACTCTTCACTGCTTTCAGTAACCTACCTCCCATACCATACATCTGCAACATCTACTATATTGCCCCCCTATCCACTCTGTCATATGCCTTTTCCAAATCCATAAATGCCACAAAAACCTCTTTAGCCTTATCTAAATACTGTTCACCTATATGTTTCACTGTAAACACCTGGTCTACACACCCCCTACCTTTCCTAAAGCCTCCTTGTTCATCTGCTATCCTACTCTCCGTCTTACTCTTAATTCTTTCAATGATAACTCTACCATACACTCTACCAGGTATACTCCACAGACTTATTACCCTATAATTTTTGCACTCTCTTTTATCCCCTTTGCCTTTATACAAAGGAACTATGCATGCTCTCTGCCAATCCCTAGGTACTTACCCTCTTCCATACATTTATTAAATAACAGCACGAACCACTCCTGCTTTTAACATTTCTATCTTTATCCCATCTATTCCAGCTGCCTTACCTCCTTTCATTCTACCCACTGTCTCACAAACTTTCCCCACACTCACAACTGGCTCTTCCTCACTCCTACAAGATGTTATACCTCCTTGCCCTAAACATGAAATCACAGCTTCCCTATCTTCATCAAAATTTAACAATTCCTCAAAATATTCCCTCCATCTTCCCGATACCTCTAACTCTCCATTTAATAACTCTCCTCTCCTATTTTTTAACTGTCAAATCCATTTTTTCCCTAGGCTACTTGTAAATATAGAAATAAATACTAACATTATGAGAAAATCAAATGAACTGCAGGTATACAAAATATTACTGTACAGGTTCCTAAACATACATACTGACAATAAATGAATGAATGTTTGAATGAATGAAAAGATCTCTAAGAGTTCACTGGCTTATATCTTCAAGAAAAGAAATAAAACTGTCATCTAACTCTGTATAATTATACAGTGAAGAAAAAAAAAAGGTATATACATGTAATTCATGGTGTGGAAATATTACTTCTGATGCCTATGTAATAACAGACAGAATACTTAAGGTCAAAGTTAATGCAAAGGCAACAAAACTATAAATTACAGGAAATACACTAAAATTTTGAAATTCACTATAAGGTTCTCCATGAACTAACCTGAAAATTTGGCTCATCAATGGCTTCTAAAATCTGCTGGCCAGTAAGGGCAGCCCATGGTTGGAATCCATAACTAAACATTTCCCACAGTGTCACACCAAATGCCCAAACATCCGAAGCAGAAGTAAATCTCAAGTAGTTAATACACTCAGGAGCACACCTATGTATGTTTAATATAAAATATTTATTAATAAAAAGTATTTCATGACACAAAAATAAAAAAAAAAAATAGCAAAGCACTATTATTTTCATTACTCAATTAATATTATCTCAAATGCTTTACTTTGATTCTCATCAAAAACAAACAGGTACATACAAGACTTACCATGCTATTGGGAGTTTCAAATTTACATTAAAATTTGTTTGGTAATAATCTTTTCCCACTCCTAACGCTCTTGATAGTCCAAAATCTGATATTTTTATTTTGTTTTTTGAGAAAACCAAAATGTTTCTTGCTGCCAAATCTCTGGAAAGAATTTTTTTCATATATTAGAATTAATGCATCTGAAATTGTTAGTGATCAGCTTTAAGTAAACACAGTAATTAGCTCGAGATCTAAAATTCACTTATTCAAGCACTACTTTTGTCGTAAAAATATTATACTTAAATTCATTACTTACCTAATAGTTCCATTCTTGTCTTCTCGATTAAGTGAGCCATTTTTAGCACTTGGATCAGAAAAGAATATGAAGAATTTTCCCAAATATTTCAGACTAGTAGTTCCCCATGGAAGTACTGTCACATAAAATGAGGACTTCCTTTGCCAACGAGTATTCACTTTCATTTTCTTCACACACATTATTTTTAAAACCCTTTACATCATTCCACTTTTCCTACCAAGTTTTTCCCCCTTTTCTATTTCTTTACTTCTTACACCCCTCTTCTTACTCGTGAGGTTAATCCTAATATTTTAAAAATCTTTTTTTTTTTTTCAAACAAGTCGGCCATCTTCCACTGAGAAAGGGTGACCCAAAAAAGAAACACTTTCACTATCATTTTACACTTTTGCCATCATTCACGCAATATCATCATCCTTGCAGAGGCACCCAGATATGAGTTTAGATGTCACTCCCAATAGCTAATATCCCAAACAACTCCTTCAAAGTGCAGGTATAGTATTTCCCACCTCCAGGACTCAAGTCCGGCTAACTGGTTTCCCTGAATCCTTTCACAAAATATTACCCTGCTCACACTCCAACAGCTTGTCAGGTTCCAAAAACCATTCATTTCCATTCACTCCTATTTAACATGCTCACACATGCCTGCTGCATGTCCAGGCCACTGGCACACAAAACATCTTTTACTTCCCTCTCTCCGTGGGAGAGTAGAGAAGAATCCTTCCTCTGTAAGCCATGTGTATCATAAGAGGTGACTAAAATGCTGGAAGCAAGGGGCTAGTAGCCCCCTTCTCTTGTATAAATTACTTAATGTAAAAAAAAAAAGAGAAAACTTTGTTTCTTCATTTTTTGGGGTCACCCTGCCTCAGTGGGAGACAGCCATTGTGTTAAAAAGAAGGTGATTCACTTCATATACATAATGACATGTGTTGAGTTCTTTCTCATATATTTCAAGTGTTCCTTCAAAAGTCTTAAAACATTTTAAGGTATTTGAAATATCTGACAAACTGCCTACCGTACATGAAAGAGAAATTCCCCCAAAAAGGACAAAATAAAGTTTCTGAGAGACACTTTAATCATATAGTACCTAATCTCTTGGATATTAAGCCAAGTATCATCCCCTAAGCAAATAAATATTAAAGCTGAAAAAAAAAAAAAAAAAAAAAAAAAAGTTGGATATACTGTATTCATAAATGTAAACAAGGAAGCTAAGTATATTTGTAAGTGAAAGTAAAAATCTGAGGATTTTTATAAGTGACTCCATGGGGAAGTGGAACAGAATTCTTCCTTTATAAGCCATGTGTGTTGTAAGAGGCGACTAAATGCCGGAAGCAAGAGGCTAGTAACCCCCTTCTGTATATATTACTAAATTTAAAAGGAGACTTTCGTTTTTCCTTTTGGGCCACCCTACCTCGGTGAAATGTGGCTGGTTTGCTGAAAGAAGAAAGATATAGAAGAGTGCAAGGAAAAAAAATGGGTGTATGTAGAATAAAAAAAAAAAAAAATTGAAAAGTTCAGATAAAAAATCAAGAATATCTAGAAGAGATTCAAGGAAACTGGTTACCCAGACTGAAGTCCTGGATGTGGAAAATACAATGCCAGCACACTGGAGGATTAGTGAGGATGTAGCAGTTCAGAGAGTCAATGAATTGTTTTCATGAACTTCTGGCAAGACAGCCACTGAATGAATAATGTATTTCCTTCTTTGGATCACCCTACTTTGGGAGGGAATTGATAATGTGGTAAAAATGTTAGTATATACACTCAGAAAATTACATAAAGTTTGGATGCATCTAGAAGATTGCAAGTAAGCTACTGACTATATTCTGACAGAGCACATGTAAAAAATGCTGGGCGTATTTAGAAGAGGCCAAGTAAAAATTTTAGTATATAAAAAAAGAAATGTACAGTATGTAAAAAGCAGGGTATATTTAAAAGGTACTGTGAGTATGGAGCTGGGTTATGCAGTGAAGATGGAGTAGGAAAAGTAACAGATAGCCATTCAAAAATCATAGCAGAGACAGTAAATGACAAGTTGCAAATAATCAAAAAAAAATAAAAAATAAGAGAGGAAAACGATTGTTTAACTTCGTCAATACAAGTAATGCTTGTAAACATTATTAGTACTACAACTTTTGAGTTTGCTACAGCACAAAAATACAGTTGTTTTCATATAACCTTTTTTTTTTTTTCAACAAACCGGCCATATCCCACCAAGGCAGGGTGGCCCAAAAAGAAAAATGAAAGTTTCTCTTTTTAAATTTAGTAATTTATACAGGAGAAGGGGTTACTAGGCCCTTGCTCCCGGCATTTTAGTCGCCTCTTACAACACGCATGGCTTACGCAGGAAGAATTCTGTTCCACTTCCCCATGGAGATAAGAGGAAATAAACAAGAACTAGAAAGAAAATAAAAAAAAAAAAAAACAGAGGGGTGTGTATATATATGCTTGTACATGTATGTGTAGTGTGACCTAAGTGTAAGTAGAAATAGCAATACGTACCTGAAATCTTGCATGTTTATGAGACAGAAAAAAGACACCAGCAATCCTACCATCATGTAAAACAATTACATGTTTCCGTTTTACACTCACTTGACAGGACGGTAGTACCTCCCTGGGCGGTTGCTGTCTACCAACCTACTACCTAGATATAACCTATATGTCAGTTTTTATCCAGGTGCCAAATAAAGCTGACAATGATTTTTGCTGTGCTATTCACAGAGTGAGTTAATGTAACAGTTTACAAGAGGAGGTAGTAAGTGCTATAACCACTGGTAACTTTAAAAACATTATAACAGACAAAAATGCTTAAGACCAAACATGATGTTAACTCTGCTCCTGGAGCTATGAGCAAGTGATCATAATAGTATGTACTTCAGACCAAAGTAATGTAACATTAGTAAAAGTAAGCATTAGCATTTGATAATACAGCTTTTATAAAAAGTACTAACTGAAAAATCCCCTTTTTTAATTAATTATAAAAACATTTTATAAGTTAATTTTATGAAATGGGAATCTCCAACATGAAGAATAACATACTACACTGCAACTAAAATACAGCAAAGAAGGAACTAATTTATCTTACCTGTGTATAAGTCTCTTGCCTTCAAGGTAAGACATACCATCACAGATCTGAATAGAAAAGTGACAGAGTGATGTGACTGGGAAGCTTACTCTCAGAGAGGGCTCTTTGATGCATTCCAGCAATGATCGCAAAGGAGCCAGTTCCGTTACCTAAGTTAAGAATGTACACAGTATTACATTTTGTAATTCATTTGTAAAGTGAAATATGGTGCAAGAAATCTTAATTTAACAATCCTGATGTTTGTGATAAGATGCACTTTATTTAGCTCATAAAATAATAGATGAATAACAGATACAGGCATTATAAGTTAAAAAAAAAACTAGTATTTAGTATCTGGTTTTGAGTTGGTAACTTTATAAACAAAAATTATCACAGCATACATTATATTGCAGTAAAAAATAATAGTTAAGCAATAAATAGTTTAAGCATTATAATTTTCCAGTTAAACCTTTATAATAAATTATGAAAAAAAATCAACCTATCTTGAAGCAGCTGCCAATATTACAAAATAAAAAATCCTCACCAACATAAGAGCATTAGTATCAAGTACAACACCATAGAGTCGAACAATATGCTCAGAGTCTATGGTGTGCATGATGGCGGCTTCCTTCAGGAACTCCATGGGCTGTGTCTGCATCCTCTCTTTGCTTAGGCATTTGATGGCTACCTGAATCTATAGGAAAATAAGAAGATACAACTTCAATAAACCATTCATTACCTAATGCAGTATACCCACTGGAAACATCTGAGTGCTCATATAAACCTCCCTCTATCCAACTTAGCAAAAAAATACCATTTATTCACTGTTGCTTCACTCTTAGTTACATGTTACCTTCCTTTCTTCCAAAAGATAAATTAAGCATCTGGTTTATTATACCGTAATAGTTTTCTTCACTTTATTTAAATTATGTACAAGGTGAATTTGATATAACTTAGCGGATACAGAAACCAATGTTTTATGATTACTTACTCTCTCTCCTTCTTCATTGGTCCAAACCCCTTGTTGGACTACACCAAACTCCCCAACACCCAACTCTTTGTTGATGACAATGGCATCAGCAGGAATGATGTGTTTACTGGGAACACGAACACTAGGACGGTCTCCAGCATCATCTGGCACTACTACTTCTGGAGAGTCTAAGCCATCTTTACGTATTAATAAAATCTGAAAGACACACCAGCTATGTATATGGATTTCATTCTGTGTGAAAATTGCAATTATTATACTCGAATATAAATAAAATGTCTGCAAGATATCAATGCCACAAATACAGAACTAAGTGAAAATATGGAAATACAAAATTATAAAAAGAATTGAAATAGTGGTTGCTGAAATTTTGAAGCATAACCTGTCAGCAATACACCAACCTTTTTGAACTTTGACAGATAAGTCTGTGGACAATACTTATGAAAGTACTTCTTAAGCCGGCGAATTTCTGGACGTGACATTCCCATGGCTTGTAGATCTTCATCAGCTACAAATTTTATTTGGCCTACATTTTGCACCTGTTGAGAAAAGTGTAAAAATGCTAAATACAGTTCATTACAGTACAGAGTAAATTTTACCTTAAGAGTTGGTTCAGTAAAAAATGAATAAGAGAAACATGATTCAAGGATACCCATACCAAGGAGAACAAAAACTGTACACAATCTCTAAAATTCACCGTGTAATGTTTTAAAGCATTTGGAATGTACCTCACACACAAATTAAAATGTATGAGAAAGAGGGCATATTGCAGTCTTTAATTAAGACTGAACTTTTGAGGCTCATGCAGGCAGTGTCAGATAAACCCAGGTTGCAATAACTACATAAGATTGTGGGCTATCAGTAGAGATAGCTAACATGATTAGGCAATTAGCAAAGAAGCCTCATCTTAGGTCTTAGCTAATAGTAGTGCTACTGTATATTATCAACACTGGCCACTAGTAACCCAGAGTGAAAATTAGGAATCTTTCAACTTAAAAGGTCTAGTAAAAAAAAAATAAACCAGAAATCAACTAACCAGATTGTTATATAAATGTAATGTAAAGGAAGTAGTAATGTATATACACTATACATACTGCACTGGGTAAAGGAAAAAATGTAAAGAATGCAAGTTCATAGGAGATAAAAAATTACAAGAAACAGATGCTTCACATCAAATCCCAAGCACCAGCTATGTCCTGTCCCTTTCATACCTTAAGAGTATTCTTGAAATTGTTGAAGTAGTGTTGAAGTTCAGCTTCAGTGAGGAACTCATAGAGTCCCGGTCCTCGTTGGATGGAAGTCATAGTTGTAGTAAGAAAAAGAACTAGTCTCGAAGTGGTGGTGATAACAAGTACAAGTTACCACCCTCGTATCTTGCTACCTCAGCACCATTTCACCGATGCTGCAATAATAGAAATCCTCATAAACGACAAGCTTTTACAGTAACTATGGATATAAAGATAATTAAAATCACATAAAAGGATAATGAAATGTGCAAATCATCACACCGGTGGAGAATGGAATTAAGACCTTTCTTGACCACTATCTCACAGGGTCCTCCTCATGAACCTACAATATAAAATCAAGAGCCATGAAAATCAGTTTACTCAACCCTACCTAACTAATACAGTGGAACCCCGGATTTCATCTGCACCGGATATCGTATGATTCGGATTTCGACCACTGTTTTTGGTGAAATTTTGCTCTGGATTTTGTACCTCGTCCCAGAAATCATCTGTATCAGACGCGACCACCCAAGATGCCGCCACTCGTGCATATGTACAGTCTCAGTCTGGCTCTGTCACTGGTTGAGTGAGCATTCATCCAAAACATTTTGCAATAATCCATTTTTTTTGTGCTTCTTTATTGAGTGCTTGGAGAAAATTGTGGCTGGAACGTGTCCTCGACAAAGAATTTGAAGGATTTGAGGCCGACCCTGTCGACCCTATGCCTGTTGTGGAATCTAGTGTGTCTTTGGGGAAGTTCATGGGGTTGGATGTGAGTGGCCAGGATGTGGAAGAGTTGGTGGAGGACCAAAGGGAAGAGCTAACCACTGAAGAGAGCTGCAACACCATCTGGAACAGCTACAGACCACAGCTGAGGAAACTGCTTCAGAGGGTGAGGAAGAGAGAGGGGAGAAGGTGCCTTCTTCAGTGATTAAGGACATCTGTGCAAAGTGGAATGAAGTGCAAACTTTTGTAGAAAAATATCACCCTGACCAAGCTGATACAAGCCATATCTGCAACATGTTCAGTGACAATACCTTGTCCCATTTTAGGCAAATCTTAAAGATGCCAGAAACAGATTTTTAGTGTGACAGGGGTCCAGTGCCAGTAAAAGATAAAGAAGGGAACCCCAGATAGGACTTTGATCCCTCCTTATGGAGGGGGAGTCCCCTTCCAAAAAATAACCTCTGCTCCTCCTCCCTCTCCCCTCCTCACTGTCCATACCCCAACAAGAGTCTTCAATGAAGGTAAGTGATGTTAAATGTTCATTTATCAATTTCATTAATCATTGATATTTCTTTCTCATTGTTTTCTGTATGTAAAACTATAATTATTATTTAAAAATGTATTTTTTGTTAATATTTTTGGGTGTCTGGAACAGATTAACCCTTTCAGGGTCCGTCCAATAGATCTATGGCTTTACATTCAGGGTCCAAAACGTAGATCTACGCCATCAGCTCAGCTCACTCTGATAAACTGTGAGTGGTACATTTGGGCCTAGATATGAGAGAATACATCTGGTATGTGTGCACCACATAAAACAAATCCTGCAGCACACTGTGTATAATGAGAGAAAAAAAACTGAGACCATGATTTTCGATTAAAACAGCGGCTTTGCAGTGTTTTTTCGTTTGTTTTTTATAATTGTATTTGCGATTTCTTGGTCTCATTTGATAGAATGGAAGACATATTACAGAAATAGAGATGATTTTGACTGGTTTTAGCACTGGAAATGGCTTGAAACTGAGCTCAGAGTAGTGGAAATGTTAAATTTTTGCCGATGTTCAAGAGTAAACAAACGACCTCACACGTCTAATACACGCCAGCTGGTGGGTCTAATATACATTCACAAATGTGGTGATGATATTTATACAATTATTATAATATTACATAACAGTAAATCTTCTATTTTTTGGTGTGAATAAAAATTCATTATGTGAATAAAAAATAAAAATGGAATTTATTTGTAAAGCCTCAAAATGTAACTAATGAACAGAGGAAATGTTAGTTTAGTGCCAGGAATACCTACATTGTTTATTCTGGACCCTATTTTGAAATTGGAATAATTTGAACTTTGTGTTAAATTGGCCAAATTACCAACTTCTGATCACTGTATTTTGTAGTTGAAACAGTTGACTTGGCAATTTCTTGTGCTCAATCGATAGAATAGAAGTAATACTAGTGAAATAGCTAAGAATTTGGTCGACTGGAATAATGTAATTGGCCTAAAATGGGAGTCAAAGTCGGCAAAATCGCCGATTCGTAAATATCGCTGACACATCAAAATTCGCGAGAGCATAATTTCGTCAATTTTCCATCAAATTTCATACTTTTTGTTTTATTACCTTCACAAAAAGATTCTCTACCATTTCATAAGAAAAATAACAATTTTTTTTTTTAAATTCTTGGACACTGGGGCACCACTTCAGATTTTGGCCTTGGACCTTGAAGGGGTTAATTGTATCTACATTATTTCTTATGGGAAATACTGCTTCGGTTTTTGTCCGTTTTGGATTTAGACTGACCTGGAATGGATTAACGACGAAATCCGGGGTTCCACTGTATATGCTTAGATGCAACTCTAAATGACACTACCTGACACAAAATCAACAGATACTGGTGTTACCCAAGGTAGCGTACTCAACCCACTCCTATTTCTCATATATGTACTTACATAAATGTTCCTACAGTAATGTAACCCAACACCACAGTCCAATATATTTTTGCTAATGATATACAGTAAACTATATTTCTTTTAACTCTGAGCCTATCACTTTGAAAACCCTAATAATGAAGAAATCTACACATGAATACACCTATCATCCGACTTACGACCGCGTTCGGTTCCGAGAAACCAGTCGTAAGTCGAAATGGTCTTAAGTCGAACTTTACTACTGAATATCAACAAAACATTTTTGTAATGACTTTATTTTATTGTTTTATTTTGGTATTTCATGTTTTACTTTACTTTTTATGTTGTTAGTACTGTATTTTATACTGTAAGGTTTAGGATAAACACTGTGTACAACACAAATAGTTGTTTATTTCCCAGAAATTTGGCATAAAAAACACGGTCGTAAGTCAAGTGGTCGTAAGTCGAGCAGGTCGTAAGTCGGATGGTAGGTGTATATACAATAAACCAAAATTTGATTTGGAAAAAACAATTACGTATGGGTTGACCATCACTAATCTGGCATCACTGGGACCAATAAATTCCATAAGAAACTCACTCATAAAATGGGTGCGATACTTATGCTAGCCGAAATTAGTGATGGATTAGTTATGGAACCGGATTAGTGATTGGCAGATCAGTGATGGCTGTCCTGTATATGGGAAAACATCCAATTAACTAAATCTTAGACTAAATAGCTCTTAAATAAAATAAAATATTAATAAGCAAGTGAATTCCAGGTAAAACATACATAAAAACAACAAACTGAACATCAATACATACACACATTCCACACATTGAAAAAAATATGAGACAATAGGCATACTCTTGAAGATCAGCTATTACATACCCAACTACTCTGCTCTCTTAACACTGCACTACACTCTGATTTATCCATATCTCACATACTGGATCTAAGCCTGAGGAATGATGACCATCAACCATCTCAAATCAATCGTGAAAAAAAACCTGCAATCAGAACTTGCACCACAAATTCACCCTTAGTCCCCCCCCCCCAGCCCATTCAGCCTATCAAGAGTAATATTAATTGACAGGCCACAATGGTTTTTTACTACATATTTAAATTTCACGAGCTTAATGAATAAAGTAACCTGACAAGGAACCATCCTGATTAACCCACTTAGAAATACTGCATCATACTAACGAATCATAGGCAACTGCTCTCTAATTGGTTGATTGTGATAATGTGACATCTCTGGGCACTAAAAGCTTTGAAATTTGAAGAGGTAGTGGTGCTGGCAGCCACTGAAAACAGATTGGTCTGCTACCTTAGGTGACCTTGCTAAACTACACTAATACAATATGTAATTGGTGGCTTTGTACAAGGACACTGCATTAAGCATTGCTTTGCAATGCTTAATGTAAAATAATGGTTCATGAAAAAATTGGCAGATAATAGCCTCCCAAAATACTGACTTACATAAGATATTTTTAACAAGACTAATCCCCAAACCTTTAGTCCTCACTTACATTTCTTGGTATACTGTATTTAGGAGGAAGTTTCAAACCTATAGAGGTCATAGAACTCCTGGGGAATGGGAGACAATGGGTTTAATCCAAGGATGTGGAGTAAATTCCAGTTCCTTGAATCAAGAGCCCCCATACACTTACACACCACCACCATCCCAACACATAGAGCCACCACCATCACCACCCTAACACAGAGCAACCACTAATGCACATCCCAAGCTCCCATCTCCTACACTCATACATATCTTCAGCTCCCACCAGAACCACTCACATCCTCAGCCCCAACTACCACCCCACACACCTCCAGCCTCCTTCAGGTATTGCCTGTCAGCTCTGGCAACCACAAAGCGAGTTGCCTTACACCACGATAATGGTAGTAACCCTTGCATGCACAGAACTAGCCAGTCCAGACAAAAGTGAGACAAGAGCATAGTCAACTCTGTGGCTACACTGGAATGACAGGGATAAGAGCCATTCAACAATGAGCTGAAAAACAAAAAAGGTTAAAAGACAACTACTCCAAAGGTTGACAAAGGCTCCAACACAACACTCAAGATTTCAAGTGTCACTAAATACAACGACATGAATTTGATGGAAAATGATACAGCAAACCTCTAACTATATTAAGGAATAAAATAATCAGCAAGTAGTTGAGAAGGGTTTCCTGGGTTTTTAAGAAAATATGGGGGGAACTCTTGGTGATGAGAGGAAAAGGTATAGAGGGGTTAAGGAGAAGAGAGAAAAAAAAAAGTTTTCCCCCTTGGAAAAAGAAACAGGAAGAAACATTCCCAATTAGCCTGATACCTATATATGCATCTTACTCAAGTCAGTGACATGCTACACTTCACCAATATAAAAGACTTATGAGAAAAATTAAAATCTAGCACCCTTTACTAATTAAAAAATTAAGATAAACCCAAGCTTACATGCATCATCTTTAAGCTATCCAGCACATCCACATCCCCTTGCCCAAGGATATGCCTATTTGGGACTGAAAAAAGTTCTGTTTATTCT